TTACAAAAAATTATTTATGTCCATTTTCTCTCTTTAAATGGTGTTGTACTACTATAATGTATTTTTTAACAAGGGATACCGTAAAACTTTTATTAATTACCCTGGGTAACTTTTGTTTCAACCTTCCGCTGGAGGGAGTAATTAATCGAGGGAGGGTATGAGGTTTGAAATTTGAACGTGTTTTAGGGCAATTGATTTGGGGCAATTATTGTTTCAATCTATCGCTGGAGGGGGTAATTAATGGAAGTGGGGTAACTATTTAAGGGAGGGCAATTAATACAGGTTATACTGTAGTTGATAAAAAATAAATTTTGATCAAAATTCTGCTAATTGACTCTAATTTCGTTTTTTTCAAAAGTCTGATCCTTAAATAAATTTTTAACATAATTAAGAAAAATTTTAATAATTTTGGTCATTGTAAACTCCGTTTTTTTCTCATTTATAATTTTTAAAAAAATTTTTAAATATGAAAAATAATATGTATTTACTTTTATATTCCTCATTTAATAATTGTCCAATTTTTTCTTTTTGAAGATTAAAAAATCTATGAATACTATAATCTTCCTTTTTATTAGCAGCATAACTAATAGCTCCGATTGCATCTTTAAAATCATCACTAACATTACCTAATATATCCTTTTGTATTTGTAATGTTGTGGAAAGTAATAACTCCTTTTCTGTCAAAATAAAATTAAAAATAAATTGTTCGGATGGGTTCTATTGTAAAAACCCGGTAATGTTACCCCCAAGCCTACCCTAACAGATAAGGCATATATGAAAATGATCATTAGGTGTTAGCAGTTGCATCGCAGATTGCATAGATCTCTTAGATCAAGTCACATCCAAACCTTTTGCTATCTTCAGGGAGTTTTCAGCCATTTTACTCTAGTCTAGATTAAAAACCGAGTCGAGATCTTTTTAAAAATCTCGACTATCGATATCCTAAATTTCCTAAATATCAATCTCTGTTAATCTTCAAGAGTTTTAGTTAACATAGACACTAGGGATTGCTTTTACCTTCACTAAAGTATGCCTCCTCTTCTCCGGATATTTTCATAAAAATTGTTTAAAAAATATGTATGTATACATAGGTAAATGACATTTTAAATTCTAAATTTATAAATTTTGATTCTTACTTTTATTGTAAAAGTTATCATTTCCCTTATCATTTCCTCCAGATGTTGAATAATTTTTTGGATGATCTGAATCAGTTGTCGCGGGTTGAGAAAAGGAGTTTGATCGGATCTCGGGTACAAAAAAATCTTTGAAAATCGAAATAGAAATAAAAGAAACGTCGAAAATCGAAATTTCGACGCAGCTCTGGTCGGGTCTACCTAAATTTTTGAAGTTTTAGTTTCAGATTGAATTTGGATCGGGAAAATTCGGGAACCCGCGACAACCTTGATTAAATGATGAATTCATTGAAAATTGTTCATTTCTTTGATTCCAACTTCCCATTCCTCTATTCGAAATTAAAGATGAGGATCCTTCAGATTTAGAATAATTTCTTCTCAAATTGCCACTATTTACTTGCTGTAATTTTTAAATATATATTTTTATCTTATACAAAATTTTTTTGAAAATAAAATTTTTTAAGAGCCTCTATAGTATTGTTTGACCATTAACAAACCCGAATTTACTTAACGGGGACTCTGGTTCGTTGCCCGGCGGCAATTGATTGCTACTTTAGTTTAGTATGTATATTAAAGATTATGGGTGTTGATACCGATACCGAGGCAGGTATCGGCTTTGGATACCGATAAAATAACGATTTTATGTAATGGCCTTAATATTACTATAAACTTATTTTTTATTAAAATTCGACAGTTTTTATTAAAATTCTCGGTCCTCCACAAGTGCGTCTCTGTAAGAGTTGGTCCGCAAGTGCAGGTCCGCAAAAGTCAGCTAACCAAATTCATGTATTTGATTTACACCAAAAATATAAATACCTAATCCGTTCTCATTTCCGGAAAGTTTATTTTAATGAAATTACTTTGGATGAAATGGATCAAGTCAGATAGGAACAAAGGTGGGGGTATAAATTTTTGAAATAAGTAGTTAATTTAAACAAATTATTACCCTTTTTCCCTCTTGATTATTACGAAAAAGATTTTTAACAATATTTCCTAATTCCTTTCCTTTAGGAGGCGCTTTGCAATAATTAAAGAAAAGAGAAATAATTAAAAAATTTAACATTAATAATGAAAAATAATTTTTATTTTTCATTTCGTTCAGTTAATCTGAAGAGTCAAAAAATTTTAAAGGGATTTTTTAAAAGAGATTTTTAAAGGCGAATTTATAATTAATAAATAAAAATTAAATTAAAGGCCCTCTAATAAATGGAGAGAAAAAATGGCGACTGACGAATGAATTCGCCATTTGCATTTTTTAAAGGAAAGACTGCCATATAAGATTCAAAAATAAATTTTTGTATTTTGTAAAATCTTGAAATGCTCAAACTACAATATTGACTTGATGTCGGCTTTGACAAAAAATAAAAAAAAATATTATAGCCGCCGGATTTTACAAAATTGGCAATAGAGAAAATTTAAAAATTCAACAACCAATATTATTAATCAATTAATAAAGGGCAAATAAATAAATAAAAGCTAAGTTGCCTTTTAATTTTTTTAAAAGTTTTTATTGAGAAATACAGACATGGTCATGGATACGGATATGGATACAGAATATCCGAATACGGATACCAAAATCCGTATTCGTGTCCTAGTCTGGAGAAATATAACCTAGCTAGGTAACTTACTTTCTCTAATAATTACCCCCACTCTCGATTACATAATTGCCCTTTCTGAATTAATTACATCTTCAGTTTATTAATATTTTCCTCCAGACGAGAGGGTAGGAAAATAATTACCCATTATAATTATTCAATGATTAGCCTCGATATTTTTGTTTTCTAAATATTGTATACGATGTTCATGCTGTAGAAAATTCATTGGATGGGAGATGGAATAGAACCATCATGGAAAGGGCCCATACCAAAGCACAACCGACTGGCCGCCATCCAACCAGAGTTGGGTCGGAATTCCGATTTCTGACGTTTTTCTCATTCAAATTTCCGAGTTCCGATTTCCGACTTTTTAGCCATTTCCGATTTCCGGCTCTTCCGAGTTCCGACACCTCTGACTGTTCCGACCCTCCTCTGCATCCAACTTGATGCTGGGTTATTTATTTTCATTTATATTACTTCTGCAAGTGTGGACACAAAACTAGTAAATAAATCAGTTTAACTAATAACAATAAGTTACATCCATCAAAAAACAGTCACGACAAATGAGAACATCTAATAGGTGAACGTGAAATCTTAATAATAAACAGACACTTTTTTTTATTTTTATTTTATCTTTCAATTCAATTAAAATAAATTTAAAAAAAATTTCTTTTGAAATTTTTAATTTCCCCCCATTTTTTAAAAAATATAATCGTTAAAACGCTTAAATGAAAGAGAGAACACTAAAAAATTTTTTTAAATACACACTATTTATTATTTATTTGTTTGTTCTTCTCTCCCCTCCAAAAAAACTTTTGATATTCGCTGAATCAAAAAATAAAATATGAGTCATTTAATTATTTTATATTTAAGCAATAAAATTTTTATCGAAATTATTTTAAATGTTTAAAAATTATTTTTTCGTTTAAACACTATGTTAATTTATATGTTTGTTTGTATTTATCAGACGTGGTAATGGACATGGATTTTGGTACCCGCATCGGATATTTACGGCAGATACAGACGGATATCCGCAGGCATTTTGAACTTATCAGTATCCGTATCCATTACTAAGCTTGGTTTCTACAGTCAAAAAATGGTACAGGTTGAGTAAAAAAATCACGTCGGGGTTTGGAAAATTTCCTCATGTTATCCTTGCTACAACCGTGTCGTTTGCAGATCATACCTTCATTCGGTTCTCCAACTTTTGCGCCGCGACATTTGCGTCACCCTGCCTTAAAAAATATGATTAACAGCACAACTGTGCGCCAAAATTTTCGCGTGTAGAGGGTAGGAGGGCTGACTAAGCGAACCTCCAATAGGTAATATGTTTAACTCATTTTTACGTTAAATTTTTTCATCTCCGAGGATGCACGTAAAATTGAAATTCGTTTGTATTAGACACTTTGACTATCTATTATGAGAATTTGATATTGTAATTATTACCCTCGTATAATTTATTCAATTTTATTTACAATATTTAAAACACAAATATATGTATATAGGTAATTATGGGTTTAGCCGTTGTCATTTAATAAATGAAACTGGAGTTTGGCTGTTATAAAGATGATTCATCTGGCAGCATTTAAAACGTTTAGACGTGGGTAAATGTTTTTAAGAGAATAGAGAAATCAAAAATTTTAGCAGCGTTTGCAAATGTTTAAGTGAGGGTTATTTTGTTAAACTCTATTTATAAGGGAAATTACTAGAGTGCAGAAAAATTTTTTCAGAATTTTGAACGGGACAGGATCCCGCAAAATCCCGTTCGGGATCCTGTCCCGTCCGAACTCTAGTAATTACTGGCCAAACAGATTCTATAAAAGTAGCGACATTTTACAAAAACAGTTGTCAATCTTATTTAACTTCTTAATAACAATACCATAAATTATCGTTTTATTTGGTTTTTGATCATCATTACCCTTTGATAATTAGTTTTAGTTGTTTTTACAAACCTCCATTCATTTAAATTTAAAAATTCTGCTAAAAACATAACGCCAAAATAATTTTATTTTTTGACATTTGCTCCCAATTTGTCAAAATTTATTTCCTAAATTTTTTTAATTGTTTAGTCTTTGTTTTTAGAGGTCGGAACGGACGGAATCCCGGGTTTTCAGCAAAAAACGGGATTACCTGGATTTACGGAATTAATCCCGCGGGATCCCGTCCCGTACAAAATGTTGAAAAAATGTGATTTTACCGACCTCTGTTTGTTTTTCAGATTTTTCTAATTATTCTTTTCTTCATCTATAACTCTTATACTTCCTAAAACCAACAAAAAATGTGTATTTCCAAACTCGGTCAAACAATTTATGGGGTTTTGGCTTTAACTATTGTTGCTTTAACTTTGGCTTCAATGTTTACCCCAGGTTTATTACCTAAAAATTTTTTGATATTTTTATTTTTTCTTTTAGGCTGGCGCAAAATAAATGCAGAAGTGAAAGAAGGCGAAGACCGCAGCAAAATAATTAATCAAACAATTTCTTTGGGAATTTTCCCTTTCTCGTGCGGGTGGGAGTTGGGGAAATCTGAGTTGCATTTGAATAAGTCGGAGACTGATGCTAATTGTCAAAAGTGGTGGGAGGTATGTTTTTGTGTTTTTTGTGTTTATCTGCGGATCTGACCTAAATCAAGGTCTGAAATCCTGTAAAGAACTAGCAAGCTCAAACGTCTTGGTTCTGGGTACGGGAAAGACCCATGCCCAACCTGACCATTTTTGGGGTAACTTCCAAGGGAAACTTTATAGCAACCTCAAAACATGACTTGACTTTGAGAGCAGGAAGGACCAAGCTCGATCTATATTTGGATACCTTCCAATTATTTTTTGGCTACCTTCCTACCGCAGCCCAACCTACCGCCGAGGCTATAACTTTTTTCAGAATTGTCGAATCCGGGACGCCTTGGTATGGTTCGGTACGCCTCGACGAGCTGAATCCAACCATACCAAGTTGTCTCAGATTCGACAATTTTGAACGAAGTTATAGCCTCGGCGGTAGGTTCGGCTAGGTAGATCGGTAGGTTCGGCTCGCGGTAGATTTTAACCTTGAAATTTTAAAAAAGCCTAGCCCTAAAACTTTTTCTCTCAAAAAACTTTGTAGGAGAACTTCTCCCCATTGGAATTCTTCCCTAGCTAAAAAATCTTTATTTTTCAGAATCAACCAACATATGAGAAATTTGTTTTGGTATTTATGATTCTTGCCCTTCTTTGTTCTATTGCTGCCTTTATTTGGAATGCTTTGACATTTTGTTGTTGTATTGGGAAAGGTTTTTTTTGTGAGGATTTTTCTAAAAAAATATTTTTTGTAGGAGGAATTTTCCGTCCATTGCCTTCATTGGCATCTGCTTCAGCATTTCTTCTTTTATTTGCACTAGTCATCTATTACTTTAACAACGATAAAGATATTGGTATTTTTTATTTAATTTTGAAGTTTTGGGGTACTTTATGGATATTCCTCCGTCACCTTGTTTGAGTCTCAAAGTTACTTTCTATTTTTCCCTCAATAATTTCTGCCCGAGCAGTATAGGGGAAGGTGCTTAAATGAGGAAGTCTGACCCTAATATGTATAGCCTAAAAAAGGAAAGAATAACTCGGACTCAAACTAGGAGGGGGGAGGGGGAGAGGATATTCATAAAGTACCGAGTATTTTTATTATCTTAATGGCCTCTAGGCAGCTTTTAATAGTAGTAAGTAGCTTCCCTAGCTTTCCAAACGATACCCTCTATTTAATTTACCCCTCATTACAAGAATTAATTTTTTAAGCCCAAGGGGATACAATGAAAGCCTTATATAATGTCACTCTTTAGTCTTCTGAATTTGCCGACGTTAGAGAGAAAATGACTTGAAGGGACGTCAAATCTAGCAAAATATGAAAGGAGGACAGTTAAGGAAAGCTTCCACTATTACCTTTTAATTTTTGTATTTAATTATAAATTTATTTTTTTCAGAAGTTTTAAAAGCCTGGGACAATATCAAAACAATTGAAGACAACGATATTAGCTACAGTTTCTTCTTGGCACTCGGGGCATTTGTTTTGTGCTTGGTTAATTGTCTGGTAGGCTCTGTTGTTATGTCCGCAGCGGAAAAGTGTTGTTAATTGGAAAAATAAATTGAAAAAATAAATTTAAATATTAACAGAATAAAAAAATATTTTTTTAATCTCTAAGGGATCGGAATTTAAAATTTTTTTTTAATTTCCAAAAAATATTTCGATCCCGATTTTCTTAATTACATATTACTAAAAATGTTTTAATCCCTTTAAAATGACCTTCCTTCCCTCTCTTTGTTAATTAAAATATATAATTTGTATAATTTATTTTAAATATTTTTGTCTATTAAAAATTAATTTTGTTTTTTATGTATTTAAATTTAAATAAAATTTGCCAAATGTTGGACAAAAAATATCATCGCCCACGAGGCAAAACCCCGCGCGAATCGTAAGTTTAGTTCAAAAAATGACAAAGAAATGGGTAATTTTTGCTTTTACAATCTTAATTTTATAAGCCAGATAACTTTTTTAACTTATTTTATGCGCATATTTCACTGTTTTTACTTGCATATAAATTCTAGTCTTAGTTATCACTTGATAAACAAAAAGCGACATTTTTTATGAAACGACATATTGGTACATATAGAACAAATAAATAAAAAGAAATTCCCGAAAGAAAGGAAGTGATAATTTCAATCTTTGCAACGAAGACAAAGATCAACAAGTGCCCCAGGCATCGATTTATGGAAAAAATCCGGATCTGTCAAATAAGCCATATAATTTAGCAAAAGACATTCATTGTTTCCACAATTGAAGCAGAATTCAATTAAATGAAGCAATTCTGCATATCTTTTAGCTCCTGCCAATGGTCCATAGCGATTCTGAAATAAATTATTTAAAAAACTAAATGCCACGTTAAACTTTATTGGTAAGATTTGGATAAAATAACGCTAAGTATTTCGAATTTTCAAAGAATTGTCGGGATTTGTTCCCAAAAGTTTCGAATATTTCAAATAAAGTCTTAACTTTGGGAAAATTAATTCTAAGGTAGCTCCCCGTTCCACGACCCCGATAATTGTTGGATTCTACATCACAAGCAGGGTGGACGCAAGAAACAATTGCAAAAAACGAAAACGAAAAGCAAGAACGCAAAACGCAAAAATGGGGAAAATTTTTTATCAGCCATTTTTCAATTAAAAATTGAAGGGAAAAATTCCGTCATAAGTCCCGGAAACCGATTCAAACAAACAATATGTCATTTGAAAGAGCTCGGCGAGCTGAGTCGAATGACATCAAAATTAGGTCCCGGTCTCACCCATGGACCGAGATATAGGCCCCCGAAAATCGAAAAATCATAGGGGGGACCAAGCTCAATTTTGTGATGAAAAATTCGATATACAAATAATAGCTCATTTGAAAGAGCTCTTCAAGCTGAGTCGAATGACACCAAAATCGCCGTGATTGGTCAAGTTTTTCGAAGTTATGACAAAAAAACAAACAACATGAACCTATGGGGCGGCGGCGAGGCGCTTGTGCAAAACTCCGCGCTTCGCGCGGAGTTTTGCGGCACGCGCCTCGCGGGGAGTCTACGGGCGATTGGTCTGGGCTCGTAACTTAATCCTATTCCAATTATCGCTGTGATGGTCATGCCCGGCTTCCTCCGCAGCAGCATGAACATCCACGGAGAACAAAGGTAAGGAGCTAAAAAAATGATCATAACTTTGTTAAATCAAATCAGATTTCGTTGATTTTGGTGTCTTTCGACTCAGCTCGAGGAGCTCTTTCGAATGGGCTATTATTTGCATTTTCGAATTTTTCACCCCAAAAAAGTGCTTGGTCTCCCCTATGGTTTTTCGATTTTCGGGGGCCTATATCTCGGTCCATAAGTGAGACCGGGACCTAATTTTGGTGTCATTCGACTCAGCTCGCCGAGCTCTTTCAAATGACATATTGTTTGTCTGAATCGGTTTCCGGGACGTATGACGGAATTTTACCAATTGAAGTATTCCTAAATGAAGTGAGTGCCGAACGATTTTATGATAAAGGGTTTAGATCGATACTGATTTAGAGGGATTAGTATACAGGGTGATTACTGAGAATATTAGTGAATTTGGAGAGATTAAGAGGGATAAGGAGGGAACAAAGGAACCGCGATAACACGATATTCTCTCCAAAGACCTATACAACTCCCCTCCTCCAATACCCAGTTAATCCAAACCTTTACCCCTTTTTGTAAGCGCTATATCACGCACAAATTTCTCGACTTCCCAACTTCATCTCTTTCCAACACCGAAAGCGAAAACTTTGAAAAGTTTATAAACAATTTAAAACACCTGCAACATTTTCATCAACATATCAGAATATTTCTCTGCCTCAGTTAGTAATAATTGTCGGCCATACTGACTTAAGCCAGTTGAGGCAAAATGTGATGAAATTATAGCGCGAAGGAGAACAAATTCTTCTTTGCTTAGTTGCAGTCTATTAAATGGTCCCACAGAATCGTCAAATAATTTTTTTACAAATTTGTTTATCCTAATACAAGATGAAGGATTAATCAAAAAATAAAATTTACGTCACGTCTTCTTTGTAAATATTTGCTTTGAAAACATTTCGAACTGGAAATTCATTCGGCATAACAACAATTTCAGATTTTTTTCTACTTGAATAATAGGCAGAATGGAATGTTTTCAGCGGCAGGGTAATTGTTGTGAGCAGACAAATCTTTATTAATTTAAATACTAAACTTCTAAACTTTCTTTTCTTAATTTCTACGGCTCCCCTACAAAGGATAGATGAATTAAAGGATAGATGCACTAAAGGATAGATACGGCCAAAAGCGATCAAAGGATAGACAGCTGAATAGGTCGTTTGAGTCTGGACAAAAATGTTTAATAATCTGAATCTTCGCTGGAAAAACTGTTTTTGTGCTGCTACGGAGGGTAGGCCGGGCATGGTCTTCGCTACACGATGGCCGTGCTTCGCTGCGGTCGTGCTCGCTTCGCTCGCGGCGACCGTAGCGAAGCGGCGGCCGTCGTTCCGCTCGACATGCCCGGCTTCCTCCGCAGCGGCAAAAACTTTTTTCCGCGAATATACTAAAGTACAAATAAAATAAAAATCAGAACAGAAACATGAAATCAGAACAAAGATCGGAAAAAAACAAACAAAGATCAGGCACTCAACAGTTGGTACTCAACTGGACTCCAAACTTTATCTATGTTTTACCCAATTTTAGACGTGTCTATACTTTAATGGATTCTACCCCTATCTATCCTTTGGCGCATCTATCCTTTGATGCATCTATCCTTTAATCGTTTTTTGCCTTATCTATCCTTTAGCAGCTTTTGGCCGCGTCTATCCTTTGATCGATTTTAGCCGTATCTATCCTTTCATTCATCTATCCTTTGAGCGGGCACGATTTCTACTCTCTATATTTTATATTGGAAACGATAATTACACTCTGTCAGAAAATTATAAACACCACCTAGTTTTTGAAAAAACATAGGTAAAGTTAAAATATCATAGTTTTAAATATTTTTAGGATTTTCTGATGCATATTGAACTGAAAAAACAATAATTGATAAAATAAATATGGATAGTAGAGAAATTCTATTTCCAATAGGTTCTATTTCCTATTCCAAGAAAACTTATTGTGATAGAAGGCCCTACTCACCTAGAGTTTTAGGATGAGTGAGTGAATGAATGCGACCACAGGCAACTTTTTTAAAATTATGGAAGGAAAAAATGACTGACCATTTCGTACCTCAACTGAATCGCGGACTGGGGGGGGCGCAATAAGTACCGAATTATAGCCAGTGCTTCGAAGAACTGCTTATAGCCCTGCCCGACAAATTTAATCACCTTGTCGGCCAAATCCAATTTATCAAAGAAAAGCATAGTTCTTGCAGTATCAACAATTATAAACAAAAGATCCGTTAAAGGTTTTGGTCGACAAGTAAAGATTCCAATGTTTGGATTGAATTTTGGAAAATTTTGCTTTCCAATCTTTAAATTAAAAAGAAAATTTTGTCTTATTTTTAATTTCAAACCACACATTCGTGTTTCATTGCAATTAAATTTTCTTTACGTGTGAGTAATGTAGCAAGTGAATTTAACGAAGAATTATAATGAAAATCTTGGATTCCTATAGGGGAATCGCCAATACGACAAGCATGTTGCTCTATTGTGAGTAAATAGTCAAGTAATTGTGTATTTTGTCTAGCGATTAGTGATTTTTGCTGAAATATTTTTATAAAAATTTGTAATTAACAAAAAGGTTAGCTTCAAAAAACCTCGTTCTATCCTTATTTTCGGCCTAGTTTATAGCTTACTTAAAAAGCTAAAACTTTTGTGATTTTCTGATGCCTAAATGACACGAACGGTCTGAGGCAATCTAAATACGAGAACGGCCTAATAAAATAATACTCTACCAAATCAACAAAATTCAGCCCTCCAACAGCACAATTATTAGATTTTCCTTGGACATATTTTCCTTTACTAGCAAGTTCTCTACGTTTATTTTGAATCATTGTTTGTATTTCCAAAACTTTTTCGGGTTCCCTTCCTTTTGTTGTTTGAATATACATTCCTTTTAATATGCATTTATCGAAACGGCAACTTTTGCAGACATTTATATCTTTAATTAGTGTCTTAGATAATATTTGTTACCTTAAATGAACAAAAACACGGATCCAAAAAAGCCCCTAACTGTCGGAATTATTGAAAAGCTTTTAATTATACGGTAATCTATAAGGGCAGCTCTTATTTTCTAAGATAGTCTACATTAGGTTTGGACACAAACGGTTAAAAAAATCCCGTTAAGAGATCCTTGCCGCACACCAGTATCACCTTCACTTGTTAGGTTTGCGTGGGTATAAAAGTGTGGGTATTTAAAGTAGTTGGTCGGGCCGACCGTGGGTAGTAAATTAGTAAACCTCAATAGTAAATTTGTGGGTTATTTATTTGCAAATAATTACTATTCGACACATAACAGTTCCCATCTTTTTCACATTTATATTTGTTTTTTGAAGTAATACAACGATTGAAAAAGTGTTTACAACCTTAAAAACAATATCTATATTAATTAAAACTTCCAAATAAATCTACATATACCATAACAACAAACCACTCCATAAAAGTAATATCCACTAGCTATACGTTCACAGATACTACATTCTGTTGGATGTGGGTTGAGGTTGCGTTTAGCTTTTGCTGTCTGTTTTCGATTTTTTAAATTTGTATTTTCCTCAACTTTTTGATTCTCATCTTTAATTTCTTCGTTATTTTCTTCAATATCACTTAAATTTTCGAAATTTTGAAGACTTTCGTTTTCAATTACTTCATTGAATATTTCATTGAAATAATTTGTTGATGACATATTAAAATTGAATTTAGTTAAATTAAAATCCTGCTAAAACAAACTGAATTAAGCATTAAATTTATTTTAATTAGTGTTGTGCCCACACTTGCAGAAAGAACATAAATGAAAATAAATAACCCAACATCGGGTTGGATGGTGGCACAATCGGTTGTGCTTCTGGCTGGGCTCATTCCACGCTGGTCAATTCCATCTCCCATCAGACAAATTTTTCCACAGCATGAACTCGTATATGATAATTAGGATAAAGGAACTTCCAAAGTTTCAGAAGGTTTTCAAAATAAATCTCCATTTCTTCGTTACTCACTCCAATATCAATTAATCACTCAAATATCCACTCCTATATTTTTTACATTATATAAAAATATAGAATAAAGCTAATGAATTGAAGCTTAAATTGGTTAGATATTACGTGGAACTGGGGTTGCGGGAAAATAAATTTCATCCCCCATTCGAGATCCCCCGGGGAAATGGATTCCTTTCCCCACGGAAACCACTGATCTAAACAAATGTTTTTGGAATAAAGGAAATATTTTATTTGACAAATTTTTTGATTAAAAGAGGACAGAAAAAATTTTTTCAATAAAACTGATATAAAAATCATTAAAATAAAATAATATAGGTAAATGTTTGTACATCTTTTCAGCTTTATGCTTTACGAAAAAATTTCTTCCCTTATTTCATTATTTGTTTTACTTTCCTGCTTTACCTTATTTAGAATAAAGCTTAATAAAAGCTTTGATTTTCATTGGTAAAACTCCGTTTGGGTCTGGCTTTAATATTAGCCCCAATATATTTTAAAATTATTTAAATTAAAAATGAAAGCAATTGAGTGAGTAAAACTAAAAATCCTTCTCAATTTATTATCATAAAATACTACCCATGGATGGCAGGCGCCAAATAAAATTAATCACAAGCTATAAAATTAAATAATTTTGAAATTTAAACCAGGAAAGGATTAATTCTCGAAAATTAATTTTTTTAAAATTTTTCTCGAGAAGCCAGAAAATTCGAGACCTCCTAAATAAATATTATAAATTAGGGTGGGACAAAACCGTTTAATTTTGAAAAAACCGTATACCGTTTATGCCGTTTATCTGAGACCCGTATACCGTTTCGTTTATTTTTAAAAAACCGTTTAAACGACCGTTTACCGTTTATTTTTAAAATTTTTTAAAATCTATTCATAATTCAAAAAAATGGATGAAAAATCATTAATTTAGCTCATCCCTCTTTATAAAAATTATAATTCAACAATAAATTAATCATATCGATTAATTGGAGAATAATGAAGGACTGAAGAGATGCAAGTTGATTAAGAGGGAGATCAGTGGTTTTGGAGATTTGGATGATTTGAATATATAGGAGGATTAAGGTGGGATATCGGTAGATTAGGAATTAAAGGGGATCAGAGGATTAAGGGGATTAGGATCGTATATCTAAGGATTAAGGGGATGTAATGGGATTTAAACTGATTGAGGCGATTTGAAGAGATTTCAGAGGACCGTTTATGCCGTTTATCTGGGACCCGTTTACCGTTTCGTTTAATTTTACCAAAAAACCCGTTTATCGTATACCGTTTACCGTTTAGCTAAACGGTTTTGTCCCGCTCTATTATAAATGCTTAAACTCTTTTATTTTTAAGTAATCCTCGTTTTAACTCATTTTGAATACACGGCCTTAAAGCTATATTTTCATTTGGAATTATTATATCTTTCAAAATTTTGGAGTCATCTATGCATATCAGTATGAGATATGTTATCTTAAACATTTTATAGACTATCTTTCAAAAATTTACATTCAAAATTCAAAAATTGACAAAAGTTACTGTCCCCATACAGAACTCCGAGAAGGTTACAGCCCAAGTAGGCGCGCGGCCAGAACGGCGCAGAGCCACAACTTGCTTCATGACTTCCGAATCTTGCCAAATTCAGTATTAAATGATTCCTCTCATCGATCTAAAGAGATAAAATTAATAAGGGCTAGAAATTTATGGCTTTGCGCCTTTATGGGCGCGCGACTACTTGGGCGTGTCCTCTCCGAGACCTATACCTCTTTATTTCCCTCTAAGACTACACATGTATGAATTAAATACTTTTTGAATTTAACTTTTTAAGAGAGAAACAAGATTCTCCCCGCATTAGTCTCGTTACTTCAAAATTCCTCTTGATATATTCTTTCTCGAGTAATCATTTTGGGGCAATATTTCTTTTAATTTAAGGGCAGAAAATTAATTTATTTTAAAAATTTTAAAGTGGATAAGATTTTAGGATCATTTTGGTTTAACTATTTTCCTTTTAAAATGAATTACTCGAGCCAATTTGATTTTATTAAATATTACAAACAGAACAAGATAAGAGGACATGCCCATAATTCGTCCCAAAACAAAACTCGTCCCCAACAATTCATCCGACTGTATTTAAAATTTTTCATTATTTCATTATCTCTAACAGAGCTCGGTCCGTAAATGACGGAGAGACTGTAAATCGGAACTGTCGGAAATCTTAAACAACTCAAAAGTTGGAACTCGGAAATCAACATAAATTTTCGGAAATCGTAATTCTATCCTCTTTTTTCTATTTGCTGATTTATGCCCTTTTTCATATGATTTTATGGCTATAAAAGTTTCCTTTGCGTTTTGCGGCAAAAATAGCATTAGAAATGAAAAGACACGATTTTGTCTCTCCTTCCTTTGAATGCTATTTTTTGCCGCAAAACGCAAGACGCTTTTTATGTGAACGCGCCATGACAGATAGACTATACATTTAAAAAATTAAAAAAAAACCGACAAAAAAGTGCATTAAATAAGGATTTCTTAATAAAAAGCCAGACGATTTCAAAAAATACTTTTTTATAATTTCTTAAAAATTATTTAATTTCCCAATTAATTCGATTACCTTCCCTCGATTAATTACTTATAATTCTGCCCCAGTCAAATTATAAAATTATTCCTTTATTTTTAAAAATTATAAAATTGAAAATAGCTACTGTATAACCTGTATTAATTGCCCTCCCTTAAATAATTACCCCATTTCCATTAATTACCCCGTCCAGCGATGGGTTGAAACAAAATTACCCCCTTATCAAATGGCCTAAAACACATTCAAATTTCAAACCTCATACCCTCCCTCGATTAATTAATCCCTCAATCGGAAGGTCGAAACAATAATTACCCAGGGTAGTTAATAAAAGTTTTACGTTATTTTGTAATATCCCTGAAATCGAGAAATTTGAGATTTTTTGTTGAAATTTTCCCGTTTCTTTATACTTGTTGAAAACTTTTAAAAGTTGGACCCCATTATAAGTTACTCAAATGTCATCCTATAATAGGGTGTATTTTAATTAGAGGGTATTAATTAGAAGCTACGTGTACATAAATGTCGCTTCGAAAAATCGCGGCAAATCGGCAATCGCGCTCGATTTTGCTCTCCCCCTTCTTATTCTCTATTCTGCCGCATGACGCGCGTGATTTTACATGGAGTCGTGAATTTTCAATGGAGAATTCAAAGAAATAGGCATTGACAGCCCCCCACCCAAAAGCTAGCTTCACCACCCCATTGACAGCCCCCCCCCCCACCCAAAAGCTAGCTCCCCCACCCAAAAGCTAGCTCCCCCACCCCAAAGACAGCTCCCCCTTCCCAATTGACAGCCCCCCCCCCACCCAAAAGCTAGCTTCACCACCCCATTGACAGCTCCCCCACCCCAAAGACAGCTCCCAAACCCTAAAGGCTAGCCAAAATTTTAAAACCACTCTCCTTAAATTGTAAAGTTGAATGTTTTTTTCTAATTTTTTCTTCTAACTTCCAGTTAAAAATGTTAACTAAAAAGAAAATATTATTAATTTTAACAAATATTTTTTTATTAAAATTATTAAATGCAAAAGAATTTATTATAAATTTGGAACGTCAAAAAGCCAAAGATTTTTTTCTTAAAAATTTAACAAAAAATATTTTAATGGATATTTGGGCAGGACAAACTAAGCTAAATGAAATTTGTTCTGCTTTGCATGGAAGAGATAAAATTCCAACACCTGCGGAAATTGGTAAATTTTGTAATAAAAAATTTTTATTCGGATAGTGAATCAGATATATATGCGGACAGGATATCTTGTTTATCCGGACTTTGAATCCATATATGCCAGGGAACGAGCCGACATAAAAATGAAATTCTCGATTTTGGGAATCGGGACGGCTCATTCCCTAATATATACGAATAGTAGATACCTATACTACCTCAAACTCCTATCAAACTCCACGACCTTAAAATATTTATTCCTTCATTAATCTAAAACCGTTGGCCGCTTTCACCTTTCCTCTTACCTACAATACCTATTAGAGATGGGTCTTTCCACCTTTTAAAAAAGAGAAACGGAACTACCTATGTAATACACCGAAACTTCCCCCTTCTAAGAGGAGGGGGGGGGTTATCTCCTCGATCCTCGGATCTAAGAATCTAGTTTCTTCGATTCTACGATCGAGTTTTTTCGATCACTCTTCTCAAAATTAAAATTACACCAAAAAATATTTTTTATTTTTATATTCAATTTTAGAAGGAGATATAGATAAAAAAGAAGAAAAAAAGGCTAAAGAAAATACAAAAGTTTATTTAAATTTTATGCATATGACTAAAACACATATAGATATAAAGGATTTGGAGTCGAAAAGAATGAAATATAAAGGATCAGGAATTAAAGAGATTGATGAGTTGTTTTACAAAACTAAACATGATATACCTGCTATAAAAGGTTCCATTTAATTAGCTATAATATGCCAACAGAAAACTCCATTAACGACGTTTGGGAATCCCTGGAACTCAGAAATCTCCCCCATCCCCTTTCAGGAACCCTCCTCAAATTAAAATTAAAAATTATAAATTATCCCAGAGAAGAAAGGCAGAATTTGGAGAGCACAATGTGCCTACGATATGTTTCTTCTTCGTGTTATAGTTGAGCTTTATTTAAGCTTAGCTGAATCAAATATAGAAGTAAGACGTGTACACCATGACAAACCTGTTGATTATAAAAATGGGGGAGAAAGGATAATTGATGGAATAAATAAATGGTTTGAGGAGTTTGGAGGATTAAATAAAGAAGGTTATGAAGTATTTGAAAATAAAATTAAAAATAATATAAAAATAGTACTCTATAATGAAAGAGGTATTTTTAAATATATGGATAGTGCAGATACTTGGGCAGACCAGAACCAGACCAGAAAAATCTTCAAAATCACAACCCGAACGATTTTTTTCTCACCTCGAGACATCCCTGACTTATGTAGACCTGTTGCACTTCCAGAAAGAATATATAAATGAATAAAAATAAGTGGAATATGGAGGCCCTTCCCATGATGGTTCTGTTCAATCCCTCCTAATTATCTATTTTCGGGAATGACAAAGGATCGCTCTCTATAGGTTAAACAGTCTGTCCTCAATTTTACATATACCCAAGAATACTTAGGATGGAAAGGAAAAGAGTGCTGCGAGACTCCTCCATGCACTCGATTTAAGTCATAATTTTCAGCAACTAGGGTTATGTGAAATCGAGATCTGACTTTATTTGTATTTTTTTATTAAAAGGAAAAAGCAAGAAAATATTGTTTAAATGAGGAAAAACGGAATCCTTTTTCCATTTTGTTATTTCAGCTTTACTTATTTTTGTTATTGCTAAATTTAATAAGACCGCGCAGATGTATTAAACTAACTAATAATTATATAATTAATAAAAAGTGGAGAAATAAGGGAGCCTAATTTTTAACTGGTACCATCTGTTTGGTTAACCGATAGAATCGAAAATTTGTTCTTGCCTAATTCCTTTAGAGGATAACTCTAATAATTATTTTACAGATCTTTATAAATTTAAATGGAAAGAAGTAAAAGCATATAGAATTTATAGAAAAATATCAAAAATTATGAAAATATATACTAAAAATAAAAGAGTTGATTTATGTTCTACTTTGAAAATCAAAGGATTCAAAAAAGCGTTTGGTAAATTTACATATCACAGAGCTGAGAGGTATAGGGATTTGAACAAATTTTTTGCAAATATCAAAGGACATGCTTATTCTGTCGGTTAGATATTGTTATTTTAAAAATAGATATAGTTAGCATGAATGGTTAGGAGTTGAGTTAATGAGTCAACAAGCCAGAGTTGTCGGAACTCGAATCTTCTGTTAGTTAATTCACAGCAGTAATTGTGGCCGGAACCGCAAATTTGGCCGGAACCGGAACAGAAATTTCGACCGGAACGGAACCGGATCTAATTTTTTGGTTCCGTGCCAGAGCCGGAACTTCCAGCGAAGCTCTACTATGCTCTACTATGTATGTTAATAAGGTTCTAAGGTTAATAGAGGAAGTTCGGTTTGTTTAGATTTTAAAGTTTGGAAACTCCTTTACTTTTAATAATAATTAAGAGGCATGCTTATTTTTCATTAATTATACATAAATATTTTTTAAATAACAGCCAAACGCCGAAGTTGTTCATACAATATTTTCCTGTTTCGGGCATTCCTTGCTCTTGCACAAGTTTTGAATGAATCGTTTAAAAAATCAAACAGTGCAAAAGAACAAATAAAAAATGCAATTGATGAGGCGGATAATTTAATATCTATAAGAAAAAACGGAAGAGCTAATTCTGAAAAAATTTTTAAGGTTTACCATAAAATTCTCGTCCCAAATTTGAAGGAATATTTAAATGTTCAAGTTGATTTAAAAGGTAAAAGTGTCAGGTTTGAGACAAGTTGGAAAAACAGGACTAGAACACAGAGGAAGGAAGTTGATTTGAAGATGAAAAATGTTTTGGATGAAGATATGAGTGATAAGGAAGGAGATGAGGAGGATATGACTGAGGAGGATATGACTGAGGAGGAAGATAACGAGGAGGGAGACGAGGAGAAGAGTGAGGAGAAAGACGAGGAGAATGTTCATATGGAGGAGGTTAAGAATTCTGAAGATGAAGAGAATAAAAATGGAGAAGGAGAGGTGAAAGAGGAAATTGGCGGAGAGGAAGAGAATGTTGAAGATTCAGAAAATACTTCAGGCAGTATTTTTGAACTTTTTAAATATCAACAAAAATCAGATTCTGGGAGATCAATCGGTACGGTTATGCTGGGTAAGAATGAGGAACCTGAAGTTAATTCGCATGTTGATAAATAGAAGAAAAGACTTGCACCTGTTGTGAAGCTTCAAAAAGGTTCCAATAGAGGGTGTCATTGTAATATAGGTTAAGGTGATAAATGAAAATTCGACACTACAAGATAATCCGACTACAGTTATATTGCCTAATGCCGACTACCGGTCGGTCCCAATTGAATAATTCATCAAAAGTATAGCGACTAGATCTCTTGGAGTAAGACTGCCTTAAGTCCACCTTGTTGATTAATTGTCATTCGATTACCCTGCCTCGCTTTCTCCCAGTAAAAAGTGCCAACTGAGGGCAATTAACTAAGGGCATTTAATTGAATACGTTAACTGTAGTCGAAAGTACCACTTTTTATTTTTATAAAAATTTATTTGAAATTTCTTTATTTAATTTATCAATTATTTAACAAGACAATTTAATTCAATTAGATATTTCAAATGAAAGCATTTTAGCATGTATAAGATTAAATTTGTTATAGTAAAGCAGCTGGGCTATAGCCATTTCTCTCCTTTAGCTAGTGCAAAAGGTTATTCGGCGGCTGGGAGCGAACCAGCATCTTCAGTAGACCGGACTGATGTGTTAGCCATTACACCACGCCGCCTACTGCTCAGCCTTAGGAAATTAATAGCTATATGCTTTACATTATCATAACCAGGGCTGCACGCAATTGCGGGTTTAGAGTTGCGGATTGCGTAAATTGAAGGGTTTTTGCAATTGCGAGTTCCGGTGCGGATTCTTTAAAAAAATACGAGTTGCGGAATCTTTTTTTTTCAATTGCGTGCAGCCCTAATCATAACCCAAAACCTATATGTAAAAATTACCCAATTTAGTTATACTTTTTTAATTTTTAAATCTAAAAGTTTCATATTTATTTAAATGATTTTTCAAGAATATAAAAATTTTTATTAAAAATATGTGGAAATACTATACAAAAAATTGTCAAGTTATTTTTATTTTAATATTATATAAAAATTTTGAGTAAATATAAATTAAATTATAAAGTCTCTATTCATAACAATTTTTTGATAGAAATAAGCAAAAGGTTTGTTATACACATTTTAAGGAAAATATGAAATAAATTTTATTTTTAAAACCATCTTGAGCTTTTACTCATTTTTTTATTTACTTATTCAAATTAAAAAAAATTAAATTCAGAAAGTCTCTCCTTACTCACTGAGAAGTGAAATAATAATTTGTCATATTTATTGGCGGAAAAACGAATTTTTTGAAATTATCGTGTAGATTTAAAAAAATTTCCTAAATTTGTATTCTGACCCTTTTTATTAATTGGTGAACATTTTCCGATGCATTTTCCGAACATTTTCCCTAAACTTAAATTCTGTATCACTTAACATTTATTAACGTCAATAAATTTTAAAAATCTTTAAAATCCTCCTTCATTTTCCCAAAATTTATTTTTTAAAATACCCTTTTCTTAATAAATTTTATTTTTTTTTCAATTTTATCCCAATTTAAAAATATAAAAAAGAAAAATAATCTTTGGCCATTTTTCCCTTATTTCCTGCAATTTTCTTGCAAAACTCTTCATCAATTTCAACTTTTTTTTATTTCCATTATTCTCTATTCAATTTCCCTCAATTGAATTACTCACTTATTTTCATGTTTCTTTTCCTTAATTTTCTTCGCGTTTTCGATAACATTGTAAATATTTTTTAAACGAGACAGAAAAAATATATAAATTTAAAATTCTAAAATGATATTTTTTAAAGAAAATTTGTTAGAATTACCCTTTAGAAAGGAATTTTTTTGAAATAAAAATCGGATTTTGTTTAGATTTTCTTTAGTTTCGAATGTTTCTGGGTATAACAAGACGTTGGACAAGCATAAAAACTCGAGCCCATTGATGATTTGGGTGAAGGGCAACTCAAGGAATACCAACTCAAGGAACAGACAAATCAAACAAAAACAACTCGAGGAAAAGACAAATCAAGGAACAACCAACTCATGTAACTACCAAATCATGGAATATTCTAAAAATCAGAATTTTTCAGAATTTTTTTAAAATTCTGTTTTTTAAAATATCTAATTTTTTTTAAATCTAATTTTTTAAAAATATTCAGAGTTTAAAAAAATTCCGATTTTTAAAATATTACATGATTTGTCGTTCCATAAGTTGGTCGTTACTTGAATTGTTTGTTCCTTGAGTTAGCCCGACACGGATTAATTCCTATCCTGGATAGGTACTATAGAAAATTTAAAAATAGGAAACAGGAGGGAAAAAATGTGAGGGCGAGAAGAGCGAAAAAAGGCAAGGAATTGGTTGGTATCTCTCTGATACTAAAAGAACTTTGCCACAGAAATTTAAAGAATTATCCTAAACTATAAAATTCCAAGAAAGACATAATAGTCCCAAAACAAAGGCGAAACTCCAAAAGTTCCAAATCACAATAAGTCTGCAAGATGTTAAAAATTTTATTATTCATTCTCGAAAATGTTAAAGGAAAAGCTAAAAATAAAAATAGAATTATGAAAGAGACAGGGAAATATTTTTAACAACAATAATGTATTAATTATTCCTCCTTTACACGCAAGGATTTGGATAATTATATTCATCGCAAATCTGATATTTGTTGCAAACTTGGCATTTAAGATAGTTGCAGCACTCTATAAAGGAAAAACAAATTAATGAAATTTAACGAGAAAGGTAACTCTTTGGAGTAGGGCTAGGACGTTGGGAAGTTGATGGCAATTTAGTTGAAGGAATTGCTTGAGTTGTTGGACCAGCCGTACTTGTCGGTGCTCCTGTTGATCGACCAGCTGTGCTTGACGGTGCTCCAGTTGTTGGACCAGAAGTGCTTGATGGTGCTCCAGTTGTCGGTCCATAAGTGCTTGTCGGTGCTCCAGTTGTCGGACCAGCAGTGCTTGATGGTGCTCCAGTTGACGGACCAGCTGTGCTTGATGGTGCTCCAGTTGACGGACCAGCTGTGCTTGATGGTGCTCCAGTTGACGGACCAGCTGTGCTTGATGGTGCTCCAGTTGTCGGACCAGCCGTGCTTGATGGTGCTCCAGTTGACGGACTAGCTGTGCTTGATGGTGCTCCAGTTGACGGACCAGCTGTGCTTGATGGTGCTCCAGTTGACGGACCAGCTGTGCTTGATGGTGCTCCAGTTGACGGACCAGCTGTGCTTGATGGTGCTCCAGTTGACGGAGCAGCTGTGCTTGATGGTGCTCCAGTTGACGAACCAGCTGTGCTTGTTGTAGCATCAGAACCTGGAGTCACAGATGGATTTCCAGTAGCAGGACTAGCTGAGCTTGATGGTGCTCCAGTTGTCGAACCAGCAGTGCTTGATGGTGCTCCAGTTGTCGGACCAGAAGTGCTTGAAGGTGCTCCAGTTGTCGGTCCAGCCGGGTATGTAGGTGGTGCTCCAGTTGACGGACCAGCAGTGCTTGATGGTGCTCCAGTTGTCGGACCAGAAGTGCTTGATGGTGCTCCAGTTGTCGGTCCAGCCGGGTATGTAGGTGGTGCTCCAGTTGACGGACTAGCTGTGCTTGATGGTGCTCCTGTTGTCGGACCAGCCGTGCTTGTTGTAGCATCAGAAGCTGGAGTCACAGTTGGATTTCCAGTGGCAGGGCTAGCTGAGCTTGATGGTGCTCCAGTTGTCGAACCAGCAGTGCTTGATGGTGCTCCAGTTGTCGGACCAGAAGTGCTTGATGGTGCTCCAGTTGTCGGTCCAGCCGGGTATGTAGGTGGTGCTCCAGTTGACGGACCAGCAGTGCTTGATGGTGCTCCAGTTGTCGGACCAGAAGTGCTTGATGGTGCTCCAGTTGTCGGTCCAGCCGGGTATGTAGGTGGTGCTCCAGTTGACAGACTAGCTGTGCTTGATGGTGCTCCTGTTGTCGGACCTGCTGTGCTTGATGGGGCTCCAGTTGACTGACCAGCTGTGCTTGATGGTGCTCCAGTTGACTGACCAGCTGTGCTTGATGGTGCTCCAGTTGACTGACCAACTGTGCTTGATGGTGCTCCAGTTGTCGGACCAGAAGTGCTTGATGGTGCTCGAGTTGACGAACCAGCTGTGCTTGATGGTGCTCCCGTTGACGAACCAGCTGTGCTTGATGGTGCTCCAGTTGACGGAGCAGCTGTGCTTGATGGTGCTCCAGTTGACGAACCAGCTGTGCTTGTTGTAGCATCAGAACCTGGAGTCACAGATGGATTTCCAGTAGCAGGGCTAGCTGAGCTTGATGGTGCTCCAGTTGTCGAACCAGCAGTGCTTGATGGTGCTCCAGTTGTCGGACCAGAAGTGCTTGATGGTGCTCCAGTTGTCGGTCCAGCCGGGTATGTAGGTGGTGCTCCAGTTGACGGACCAGCAGTGCTTGATGGTGCTCCAGTTGTCGGACCAGAAGTGCTTGATGGTGCTCCAGTTGTCGGTCCAGCCGGGTATGTAGGTGGTGCTCCAGTTGACAGACTAGCTGTGCTTGATGGTGCTCCTGTTGTCGGACCTGCTGTGCTTGATGGGGCTCCAGTTGACTGACCAGCTGTGCTTGATGGTGCTCCAGTTGACTGACCAGCTGTGCTTGATGGTGCTCCAGTTGTCGGACCAGCTGTGCTTGATGGTGCTCCAGTTGACTGACCAGCTGTGCTTGATGGTGCTCCAGTTGACTGACCAGCTGTGCTTGATGGTGCTCCAGTTGTCGGACCAGAAGTGCTTGATGGTGCTCCAGTTGACGGAGCAGCTGTGCTTGATGGTGCTCCAGTTGACGAACCAGCTGTGCTTGATGGTGCTCCAGTTGTTGGACCAGCTGTGCTTGATGGAGCTCCAGTTGACGAACCAGCTGTGCTTGATGGTGCTCCAGTTGTTGGACCAGCTGTGCTTGATGGTGCTCCAGTTGTTGGACCAGCTGTGCTTGATGGAGCTCCAGTTGTTGGACCAGCTGTGCTTGATGGTGCTCCAGTTGACGAACCAGCTGTGCTTGATGGTGCTCCAGTTGTTGGACCAGCTGTGCTTGATGGTGCTCCAGTTGACGGAGCAGCTGTGCTTGATGGTGCTCCAGTTGTTGGACCAGCTGTGCTTGATGGAGCTCCAGTTGTTGGACCAGCTGTGCTTGATGGTGCTCCAGTTGACGGAGCAGCTGTGCTTGATGGTGCTCCAGTTGACGAACCAGCTGTGCTTGATGGTGCTCCAGTTGACGGAGCAGCTGTGCTTGATGGTGCTCCAGTTGTCGGACCAGCCGTGCTTGATGGTGCTCCAGTTGACGGACCAGTTGTGCTTGATGGTGCTACAGTTGATGGACCAGCTGTGCTTGATGGTGCTCCAGTTGATTGACCAGCTGTGCTTGTTGGAGCTTCAGTCGCTGGAGTCACCGATGGATTTCCAGTAGTAGGGCCAGGTGTGCTTGTTGGGGCTTCTGTTGTACGCACAGTTGTCTTAGTTGTTTCATGACAAGGTGTAACTCGGGTAGGTTTTGCACTTGTTTGTCCTCCAGTTGTCGGACCAGCAGTACTTGTCGATGCTCCAGTTGTTTGACCAGCAGTGCTTGATGGTGCTCCAGTTGTCGGACCAGAAGTGCTTGTTGGTGCTCCAGTTGTCGGTCCAGCCGGGTATGTCGGTGGTGCTCCAGTTGTCGGACCAGAAGTGCTTGATGGTGCTCCAGTTGACGGACCAGCTGTGCTTGATGGTGCTCCAGTTGACGGACCAGCCGTGCTTGTTGTAGCATCAGAACCTGGAGTCACAGATGGGTTTCCAGTAGCAGGGCTAGCTGAGCTTGATGGTGCTCCAGTTGTCGAACCAGCAGTGCTTGATGGTGCTCCAGTTGTCGGACCAGCCGTGCTTGATGGTGCTCCAGTTGACGGACTAGCTGTGCTTGATGGTGCTCCTGTTGTCGGACCAGCTGTGCTTGATGGGGCTCCAGTTGACTGACCAGCTGTGCTTGATGGTGCTCCAGTTGTCGGACCAGCCGTGCTTGATGGTGCTCCAGTTGACGGACTAGCTGTGCTTGATGGTGCTCCAGTTGACGGACCAGCTGTGCTTGATGGTGCTCCAGTTGTCGGACCAGCCGTGCTTGATGGTGCTCCAGTTGACGGACTAGCTGTGCTTGATGGTGCTCCAGTTGTCGGACCAGCCGTGCTTGATGGTGCTCCAGTTGACGGACTAGCTGTGCTTGATGGTGCTCCAGTTGACGGACCAGCTGTGCTTGATGGTGCTCCAGTTGACGGACCAGCTGTGCTTGATGGTGCTCCAGTTGTCGGACCAGCCGTGCTTGATGGTGCTCCAGTTGACGGACTAGCTGTGCTTGATGGTGCTCCAGTTGACGGACCAGCTGTGCTTGATGGTGCTCCAGTTGACGGACCAGCTGTGCTTGATGGTGTTCCAGTTGACGGACCAGCCGTGTATGTCGGTGCTCCTGTTGATGGGCCAGCTGTGCTTGATGGTGCTCCAGTTGACGAACCAGCTGTGCTTGATGGTGCTCCAGTTGTTGGACCAGCTGTGCTTGATGGTGCTCCAGTTGACGGAGCAGCTGTGCTTGATGGTGCTCCAGTTGTCGGTCCAGCCGGGTATGTCGGTGGTGCTCCAGTTGACGGACCAGCCGTGCTTGATGGTGCTCCAGTTGACGGACTAGCTGTGCTTGTTGTAGCATCAGAAGCTGGAGTCACAGTTGGATTTCCAGTAGCAGGGCTAGCTGAGCTTGATGGTGCTCCAGTTGTCGAACCAGCAGTGCTTGATGGTGCTCCAGTTGTCGGACCAGAAGTGCTTGATGGTGCTCCAGTTGTCGGTCCAGCCGGGTATGTCGGTGGTGCTCCAGTTGACGGACCAGCTGTGCTTGATGGTGCTCCAGTTGACGGACCAGCTGTGCTTGATGGTGCTCCAGTTGATGAACCAGGAGTGTAAAATCTATTAGTCTGTTGTGTTTGAGTATTAGTCTGTTGTGTCACAGTTGGATTTCCAGTTGTCGGACTAGCAGTGCTTGATGGTGCTCCTGTTGTTTCTGGAGTTACAGATGGATTTCCAGTAGCAGGACTCTCTGAACTGGTTGAAGCTGTTGTTCCTGCTGTTGTTGTTATAGTTTGTGCTATAGTAGTTGTCATTTGAACAGTCGAAGTAACGCCAGGAGAGGTTTCCCATGTGCAAGTACATATTGGGGGAGTTGTTGGTGGTTGACATGTTTGCGTGCTAACCCCAATTATTATTGCCCAAAGTATTTGGAATTGAATTAATTTCTTCATTTTGTTTAGGGCTCTTCCACCCAATTGGTTTTATTGAATTGAATGTTATTGATATTGATACCTCTGTGTTCCTCCTTTGTTTATATACAACATTTTCTATTCTTTAACACGTCTTCTTAGCTATCTTTTAATTTTTTGTCAAATGTTGCGTTGGCATTTATTTCATCATTTTCCTTACATTTTTACGATCAAATAATTTTTTGCAACTTTTTCCTCTTTTTCTTTGACATTATATTTAAACACTATTTTCTTATAGCTTCAATAAGTATGTAACTTCCACGTTACATTTAGTGTGTTTAAGTGTTTAAGCTAAATTTTGTCTAATATTATCATAACATACACCCTCTTTCCTTCCTTTGATTGTAATGACAACAACATCTACGTTGAGATTTTTTCATAAAACTTCTCTCTAAAATTTTTTAATTTAAAAAACTGTTGACACGAAGTATTTTTTCGTTAAATAATACACATAATTTTTTATCTCAAAAAATTTTTTTCTTGACTAGGACACACTCTAAATATTATTTATAATTTAAAAATTAATTATAGTTTTTAGAATTACAATTTACATAGTTTTGTTTTGTTGGAAATCTATATACATACATATCAGTCGACATAGAAATTAATTCCCGATTCTTGTGTATTTAGGATTTCTGAAAAAATTTTAATTCCTGTTCGATGAAGGAAATTTAACCCAAAAAAGGTCCTATTTTGGTGAATCGGAACGGTATATCGGTACCCTACTACATACCGAGCTTCAGTTCCTCTTCTAATTGAGCTCCTTCCCTTCTTCCAGGTTTTTCCTTCTGGTTTTTCTTCTAAGTTTAATATTTTTATTGTAAATCCAAACTCGCATAAGTACTTTTAAATTAATCTTGTCACTAAATGTGTCTTAATTTTTATTTTTTTTCATTCTCTGATCACCACACAAAAATATTTTTTTCGACAAATTTTGTTTAATTTTTATTACTTTATTTGTTATCACAATCCCTTGATGAAATTTTAAAAAATTATTTGTTTATTGTTATTTCCTCGTCTTTAATAATTATTTTATTGTTGTCATCTAAATTTTATTTTAAATGTTGTCATCATTTTTTTATAATTTTTATGTTTGTGTTAAATTCATGCTTTGCATGTGGATATTCCACGTATGCGTACAGCTTGTCCTGATTGTTTTTTTTCTTACTTTGGTTTTTTAGTACTTTTATATTTTGTTGAGTATTGGAAAAGGCCTCAAACTGATCCCTATAAGATTTAATTTTTATTATAGGTATTTAAAAAATATTTAATAGCCTGTTAATTGTATCGAGAAGTTCCTTCAGTTTAGTGACCGATCGAGATGAGATTTTGATCTAAAATCTCAGTTCTCAAGATCGAGATTTTTTCGAGATATCGATCTAAATTCTCGTACGACACTCTCAGTCTGGTCCTACTACCTCAAATTATTATACACCTAAATCCCCAAGGATTATAACTAGGCTTTTAAAAATAAAATTTTAGGCAATTTTGGGTTGATTCAAATTGGTCTGACTATCTTATCTAGCAATGTCGGCTAATCTAAATTTTCATTAATTTTGTAATTTTCTCTTTAAATTCCTTTGAACAAAAACTACAAAATCTTTAATTGGATTTTAAATTAATTACTAAAAAATGTTTTTGGAGTGGATTTAATTGATTTATTCCACATATGTAATTATAAGAGTAGACTGGTTAATTTTTAATTTTTGACATCCTTCTTCCTCTAATTGCTTAATATATCTTCAAATGCTCTTTCTTCCCTTCAGATTTTCGCGCAAAACATGCAAAAATGGGGGAAGAATTAATTATAAAAACGTCAGCACTCTTTTACATTTATTTTTATTTTTCCATTAAATAATTAATAATAAAATTTAAAATTACCTTTATAGGTAAAGAATGTTAAAACTCTCTTAGTTAAAGAGATTTGCTAAATTTTATAGAATGGTATTATCTTTTAAATATTGATCTGCCTATTTTCAAAATTAATTGATCTCTAAATCTTTATTTCCTATTTTTGTATGGGTACAGCCCAGGAGGCACGCGGCCAAGTAGGCGCAAAGCCATAATTTATTTCAAGATTTCGGAATTTTATCAAATTTAGTAGATAAACAATTCCTCTCATCGAGTTAAAGAGGTCGGTATTAAAATTAATAGGGCCAGAAATTTTCCAGTTAGTTATGGCTTTGCGCCTACCTTAACGTGTCTACTTGAGCCTACTTGAGCGTACCCCCTTTATTATTAATTTAGTTAAGTCACTGGTTGATAAGAAAGTCGGCCAGTGTTTTCAAAGTTTTCTTCAGATTCGGGTTCCAATTTCGGGTCGAACAAAAGTCCAGATATCGTGTTTCGGATAACTCATGATATCCCTTGATTTACATAAATATAACTTATTTTCTTCGTCAAGAGTAACTAACAATTAAAATAACAATTCTCTGGATTAAATGACTGAAACTCTGGACAGGGTCAAAACGAGATCTTATTCTAGAATCTTTTGGTTATTGAGATTTAGATTTTCAAAAATTATTTTCTTTTATTTGTCGTTATTCCTTAACCAGATTTACTAATTTTACAAGTTTTTCCAAAAATATTTTTATTTTTAATATTTATTAAGACAATTTTCCTTTTCAAAAAATTTATTCATTTATTTATTGGTTGTTGTTCTTTGGCCAAATCCAATTTTCTTTTTTTTTTATTTTTTTGCTCTACTTGAGCCAATTGGGTGGCCTATTCAATTGTAAGCAGGCAAATAGCAATTTTATTTAGCCAAAAAATTCATTTTGGCTGATGAAATCCTTTTTAGATAGTCTTAGAGAAGCATATCTTTGAAACTTTTTCAAAATAAATTTAATGAAGAAAAATTATAATTAAGATAAGAATCGAGATCTCTAAAAATTCTCGATCTCGATAAGCGAGATTTTCGATCGAGATCTCGTCTCGGTCTAGTCACTAATTAAAAATTAGATTATAATTTAAATGAATTTTTTATTTCTGAAAATAAATAAATTCAATCTAACTTTAAGATTTTTTTGATTTCAATTGCGGATCCTTATTAAAATATCTAACTAATTAATAGTTTAATAAAATATCTTCATAAATTTTGGATAGTTATGGTGGATCTCTGAAATTTTAAAAATGATTATAACCAGGCAAGATTGATAGAATAAACTGACCAAAAGCTATGGACATCAACACTTTATTATTGGTGTTCGGCACAGTTCGGTACTACCGATAGTACAGACTCGGTACTTTTCGATAATACTGGTATTGGTACGGTACTGATGAGATTTTAGAATTTTCGGTCCTCATTCAATACCAGTACTTTTCTGTACTACTGGTATTGGCATTGAAAAAATCCATTTGCCGAACACTAAATATTTATTATGTGACGCCTTTACTAAACTTATTCCAACTCTTCTCCAGTTTTATTAAAGTCTTAAACAAAACTTTATTATCTACCTAAAAAAATTTTTATATTTTTATTTTTTGATGTTGGCGAAGGCCATTTACTCCATTTTATTTATTTTTTATATTTCAATCTCGTTTATTTCCTTTAATTTCCTTCCATTATCGGAAGTGCCATCTCTCTTTTTGAGATGCGCATAAAAATAGCCGAACAGAGTGGATAGACGATATTAATTCTTTTAATCTTTACTTGACTTTTTTTTAAAATTATATACAAATTATTTATTTTTAAATTTTCAATACCAATAAGAAAAATTAATTTTTCTTATTTTTGGTCGAAAAATGTAAAACAGATCCATAACTTTTAGGATGGCAATTTTGCCTCTGTCAAAAAAAAACGAATTTATGTTTTTAAATTTGGACGGATTTTAATTTTATTAATAGTTTATTTCCTCTAATACGACCCCAGTCTCAGAGGTTAGTTTAAAAATACATCCTATGGGGCTGTATTGGAGTACGGTATTTATTTATAGGAAAGTCTTCTCTGTTTACCTTAATTTCAATATCTTTTTTAAAATCATTTTAAATTAAAATATTTCAAATTAAATCAACTTTTCCTTTTTCAACATGAGTGAGGCTAACTTCCCTTCCATGCAAAACAAAGTTGTAAAACCAATATTTACCTCCTATTTTAATTAATGTTGTAAAATTCTTAGTTTTTATATTTTTTTCTTTCTCAACAAAAAATTTGACCTTAATCTGAGATCATGACTTTTTTATTTTCCTTAATATCTTTACTCATTTTAAGTCACTTTTTATTACAATGGGATTTAAAATTGAATTTTTAAGTGTGTTATAAAATGAATAAATGGAAGGAGAGGTTTGGGTTATTTGGGCGTTGACATTTAGCTACTAGAGATGGGCCCTTCCGCATTTTAAAAAGCCGAAGCAGAACGCGGAAAGGTCAAAAAAAGGGGAATTCTGCGGAAGGCGGAAGACGCAGCTTTTTCACCAGGATTAATCTTTTTTCAGCTCATCCATGATAGTTAATACAATCCCAGTTTGGGAATAAATATTCTATTTTTAACAAAAATTAACGTTCTTTTTCAGCAATTTTCGACTTACTGCGCAACTTTTTTTCTGAATTCAGAACTTCTATTTCTTCTTTTTACTAAGATTAATCTTTTTTCTCGTACCAATACACCTTATTATTTATTAAAAATAAATTTATTTTACTTATAAATTATTTTTTCCTTGTGTCAGATTAATTTAAAATTCATCTTTCTCCTCAACTAAAACTCTTCAACTAACTCAATTCAATTTTTAATTAGTCAACGCCGAAAAGACCCCCTTCCCTTTACAAGCATACTTGAAGTAGTGTTGGAAATGACCCCGACATTGAGAATTAAAAATATATTTTTTTTACTATTTTAGGGTGGGCTTAGGGAATGAATGAACATAAAAAAGGCATAAATAACAAGTGGGGGAGTCGCTGCATGAGATTCTTTACCCGCGATTATTTTCTTGGCATTTTTATTTTGTAATGTAATTTATTGTGTTGTGAAAATTGCCTTTTTAATGGGGTATATCTGGGTGATATTTTTTAGTATTACTAACATTTTTTGGATATTTACGAATATTCTTAATACTACATTTAATATAAAATTTATTGAAGATATATTTTTAAAAATATTTTAAATCTCGTAAAATATTAATATACTAAGATCTATGTTTCGAAAGATTATTTTCTTGACATTTTTATATAGGTATAATAGATTTTAGACAGCCAATATCCTCAAGAGCAAACATGAAAGCTTGCTCTTGAGCATTCCGAAATTGAGAGAATCCCTCGTTTAAAATTTATAATGCCTCTGTTCAGAAAATTAAACTTTCTCAAAACTGCCCTAAATTTAAAAATTGGTCCAACATCTTCATATTATTATTTCATATCAATTCTAAAAGTCTCGGCCATTAAATCCACAAAACTCTTTCCTTTCATTATTCCCTCTGGCCCATTTATCTATCATCGCTTTTTATTAGAAAAATACATATATTTATTTTTATATTTAGCTTCTTCATTTTGTTTTTATTCTTCCCAAACACAAACATTTAAGGAAAATATTCAAATATTAAGAAAGCTTTCTATTTTATATATTGCAAAATCTCACAGAAAGATGAAAATTATTTAACATTTTAATTTTTGTTTTGATTTAATTTATTCCTGGGTTTTTCTTTCTAAAAAATTTATCCGTATCGATGTTCAAGCCTAAGAAAAACTACCGGTCAAGAATGCACTATTTTCGTTAAGCGGTCTCTCTAGCACCGGATAAATTTTATAGAAAATTGTGCCATTTTGTATCTTGTAGCAAATTTTATGAGCTTTCAGATATGCCTAAGGAAAATTTCTTATTTATGCTTTAAACGGGTTAAAATATTTTTTGATATACTGTAATCCCATTTCCCGTTGATTTAAAAGATTTGAACGATCAGGGTTGAGCGCAAGAGGCAAAATTTTATTTTATTTGTAGGTAATTGTTGAAGGATTTTTTTAAAGTTATTTAAGCTGTTTGAGGATATTTGGAACGCATGATTTTTTTTTAAATTTATCATAACTTTTGATAAATTATTGGTTTGCTACAATTTTTGTAAAATAAGGCTAAATCAAGATACAGTGGTGGTCATATGTTTATGGACAACAACGATTTAATTTGTTAACTTCTTTTATTCTTAACAAACACAAACATTAAACGAAAATATGCAAATATTAAAAAGCTTATTATCTTATTTATTTGCAAAATGTCACAGAAATATGAGAGGAAGATCAACCGGAAGATCAATCCGTTTTATTATTGCTGGAGTAGGACCTGCTGTACTTGTTGAAGCTTCATTTTCTGGAGGTACATATGGATATCCAGTAGTAGAGCCTGTACTTCCTGCTGTTGTCATTTGAACAGTCGATGTAACGCCAGGAGAGGTTTCCCATGTGCAAGTACATATTGGGGGAGTTGTTGGTGGTTGACATGTTTGCGTGCTAACCCCAATTATTATTGCCCAAAGTATTTGTAATTGAATTAATTTCTTCATTTTGTTTAGGGCTTTTCCACCCAATTTGTTTTATTGAATTGAATGTTATTGTTATTGATACCTCTGTGTTCCTCCTTTGTTTATATACAACATTTATTCTATTCTTTAACACGTCTTCTTAACTTTCTCTTAATTTTTTGTCAAATGTTGCGTTGGCATTTATTTTAATTTATTTCCTCATTTTCCTTACAATCTTACAAAAAAATAATTTTTTGCATGCAACTTTTTCATTTTTTTGACACTCTTTTCTATAATTATTTTCCACGTTACATTTTGTGTGTCTAAAATTATCACATCATACAACCTCTCTTCCATCCTTAAATTGTAATGACAACATGACAAAAATGTAAGATTTTTTATAAGAATTTTCTCTCTTGCATACACTCTGTAAAAAAATGTTTTTTATCAATATCTTACCAAATATGAAACGGATATGTTTCAAATTTTGGCTGAATATAGTTAAGGATATTATGTATCAATATTGATGATCCTTTTGTTGGAGACCTCATCATGATTTAAAAATATTAGTGAATTTCAGTAGAAAATTGTGGTTTAATTTTTAAAATTAAAAAAAAATTTTAAATTAAAAATTGCCAAAATATATCGAAATAAAATAAATTTTCACGAGAAAAGAGCTTGCGGGGAAATTGAGCTGCGAGAACGGTGAACAGGGGCTCTGGGGGTTAGAACAATTACCTAAGTATCTTTTCTTCTTCCGTTCTTTCTATTCTTTTATGTCTAATATTTTTTTGTAAATCCAAACTCTTATCCATTTCAATTCCAACTCTATTTCCATCACTTAATGTGTCTTAATTCTTATTTTTTTCTTTTTTTCTATATTATAATCACAACACAAAAATATTTTTTTCAAAAATTTTGTTTAATTTTTATTACTTTATTTGTTATTTTTAAAAATTGTATATTTATTTGTTTATTATTTCCTCGTCTTTAATAATCATTTTATTGTTGGCATCTAAATTTTATTTTAAATGTTGTCATTATTTTCTTATAATTTTTTTATTTGTGTTAATTTTATGTTTTGCATGTGGATATTCCACGAATGCGTATAGCTTGTCCTGATTGTTTTTTTTCGACTTTTAGTTTAGTTTTTTAGTATATACTTTTATATTTTATTTTAAATTGGAAAAAGGCCTAAAACTAATCCCTACAAGATTTAATTTTTATTATATTCAACAAATTATTTAATAGCCGGTTAATTGTGTCGAGGAGTTCTTTCAGTTTAGTGACCGATAGGACGAGGTTTCGATCAAAAAGATTTATCAAGGTCAAATTTAGTCATGTATCAATCAAGATACCGAACTCCTCTAGTCCGGCCTCTCCTTCAGATTATTATATATAGAGATCTGACTGGGAGAGTCGTACGAGAGAGATCTCGAAAAATCGAGATCTCGAAATATTCTTGATTTCTATACCGAAATTTTTATCGAAATTTCGACTCGGTCCGGTCTCTAATTATTTGTATCGAGATCGGACTGGGAGATATACAAACAACTTTATAATTTTTAAACTTTTAAATTGGTCAAAATCTTCTTTAAATGACTAATATTCTTCATTTTATTATTCCCCCCAATTGCCTTCAATTTTTAAAAAGTCTCGGCCACTAAATTCACAAAACTCTTTCCTTTCAATATTCCCTCTGGCCCATTCATCTATCATCGCTTTTTATTAGAAAAATATATTTATTTTTATATTTAGCTTCTTCATTTTTTTTATTTTCTTCCCAAAAACAAACATTTAAGGAAAATATGCAAATATTAAAAGGATTTTTATTCTGTCTTATTCATTTTCCTTCAAATATTTAAAATAATAAATTTATTTTAATTAATTTTTTCAATTACAAAATGAAAAAAAAACTTTTTTGTTAAGATTAGGGCTGTCGTTTTGGACCGAATCGGACCAGGAACTGAGGATTTTTCGGTTCCTCGGTTCGGCTTCGATATCTGAAGAATTTCCATGAACTGACAACTCTAGTTAAGACAGTAGCTTTATTTATCCACAATCTCCCTCCGTAAACGTCTCATAGTTTCAATCTTTTTCCTAAGGTCTGTCTCTTTTCTTGAAAAAGTCTCATTTCTTGAGAAATAACCTTCAATTTCATTCCTGAATTGAGTATCTCGAACTTACTTTCATTAGCGAATAAAATTAGATCTCTTTATATTAGGCTAGCACCCCGTCCTCCGAACCCTCTACCTGACCCCTGACGAATTTTTAGGCAAAAACTCCAACGCGAACCCCGAGGTCTCTACCAGCCCCCGAAGTCACGGGGTGCTACCCTGCTTTATACTATAATTTTTTGAGAATAACTTTGGAAATCTTCTTGTAAATTCTTTTTAAATCCATTTTCTTCGAATTATTTATTGAATATTTTCTTTTTTATATTTAAAAAGGACAGATGGCCAGCCGGAAGCCAAAATTTAGTCTGCGATAATATTTTGCATTAAATGAGGTTTTTGGGTATTTGTCAGATTTCTTTTAATTTTTAATATTAATTTCAGAGCTATATCTTTAGAGTATACTAATATAATTTTGCCAAAGTTTTTTTTCGATTAATCGGATATTTTTTTCAAAATTTTTTTTTTATTTTGCCCTTGACAGAAAATAATATATTTTATTAATTTGCATATTTTTTCATTTCTTCTTGAGAGAATGAACGGTCACTTGCCCATTTTTCATTTTAAAATTTATTTCACAGCGGGCTTTGAATATTTTTTTGTTTCCCAATCCGTTCTTTTTTTTAATTTATTCATTTTTTGTATGAGATTTTTTATTTTATTTTTTTGAGAGGATCAAAAAACCCGAGAAAAGACTAAAAAATAATGAGGCTTTAAAAAGGTTGAAAGAAAGAGGAAATTAAAAAGGAGTGAAAGGTGTTGGGGGATATATGTATCGTGATAATTGAAGATTATCCCTTTTTTCTTTCTTTTGTCTGAAAAAAATTTTTTCTTTAATATTTTTTTTCTTTTTATAAATTAAAAAAATAAAGGCATAAAAATTTTATGGTAATCGAAAATTAAAGATTATGGAAAATTTTAGTTCTGATTCGAGACATGTATTACATGGAAATAGAGTTGTACCCCGAATCCTGAGGGCACGTTTTTCGGGGAGTGTTGGAGGATTACTGAGAATAATTTGTGAGTGTTATTCTGTCAGTCACCCTCAAACGCTCCCCGAAAAACGTGCCTTCAGGATTCGTGGTACAGCTCTACATGGAAATGTTGTTTTAAATTTTAATTTAAATTTCCAAATATACATATTTTGCCCCTCTTTCCTTTTCCTCTGCTTTTATTTAAATAAATTTACGAATCAAATAATTTTTTTAAAATTTATTTTCCCATTACCTTAATTGAAAAATAATTTTTAATTATAATTAAAAAAATTTGTTTGCCAACCAAAAAAAAGAACAAATTTATTTATTTACCTACATACTATAGTAGTTTTACTGAAATTGACATGCAATACAGCACTAATTTCTTCCATTTTTCTTCTATTTTTCCAAAAAAATCTTTTTTTATTTTTTTGTATATTTTTTCCCCCAAAAATACCCCCCAATTTAGCCCATCCCCAGAGGCAACTTTCCCTTCTAGCAATTTTTAAAAACTAAAAACTACCAAAAATACTTTCCATCCCCTAAGGAAGTATTTTGCTTTTATAAATTTTCTTAAAATAAAAGACTTGGAAGGAAATAATTGTTTTATTTTCCTCAAAATGCCCTCAAAAATTTATTTTTATTTTTCTAATTTTGTGAAGGCTTTATTAAGCCGTTGGACACAAAATTGTGTGTGCGGCTCTTGAAAAAGTCAACAATTGAAAAAAATTTTTTTTGTTTAAAGACAAATAATTTTTATAAAAATATTTTTTTACTCTTTTTGGCGGTAAAATTAAAGGGGAAGGGAAGATGTTCTTCTACCTTCCCGAAGGGTAAAAACTTTTTTTGTTACCTTTTTATTGTTTTATTGAAATAAATTTTATGCGCATTCCAGGCTATAGGGGAGAAAATAAAAATAATTATCTGCAGCAATTTTGTAAGAGTGTCTTTTTAATAGTGCCGACAAAATGCATAAAATTATTGTAGAAAAGTAAAGAAAATGTTTGTATATAAATAAAAATAAAAATTGTTTTTTACACAATTAGTCTACATACATATAAGCAGAGCTATTAATTCTTAAAAATCCAAAGCTGGGAAGAGTTGGCATGCTTTGGCACGTCTTGGGTTTTGTCGAACGGTACCAAAATTGAATTTTTATTAGACCAATCTAGGATAGGTTGGACTACCCGAAACCCAAAATTTTTTCGACATGAGATCAGATTTGAGTAGAATTTTGAATAGTTCTACTTAGGGTTGCTCACTACCGGTTATTAACCGGTACCCCCGGTTTTCGGTTTTGGCCGGTTTACGACCCCCGGTTTTCGGTTCCGGTTTTTGATTTACCCCCGGTTTTTGGTTAACCGGGACCGGTTTTTGGACAAATTTTCATCCAGAATATCCCATTAAGATGTTGTCACATTCTAACGCCTTTAAATAAATATTCGATATAATAGAAGCTGAATAAGTTACGAATTTCAACAATTCGAGGAATTAAAGGGTATATGGCGAAATAAAGTTGGCTGATTTTGAATATTAGGAGAGTAGAGGGATTAGGGATATCGATGATCGGTGAGTGGATTAATATCGATGATCGGGGGATTAAGAGGATGAGAAGTTATCAAGGGAGTTGATGAATAATGTGATTAAGAGGCGTCGTCGAAAGATTTGTACGTTCGATCATGGATTTGAACCTCACCCCACATAATATTAAAGTGAAAAATCTTCATTTTTTGCGCCGCAGGCGCAAATTTTGAGAATTCTGGAAGGCTTCTATGTAAAATTTCGTGCTTTTTCAGAAAAAATAAAAAAGAGGCAAATGCCCCCTAAAGTTGGCAAAAGGGCCGCTCGTATCGAAAAGATTGAGTATCAATTGATTTAAATGGATTAGATTTAAAAGTAGGGTTGCCAAAATGGCTCGACTCGTACAGAAAGATTGGGTCGGGCCTAAGATACTTGGCCCGAAAAGGACTCGTACAGGCCCGACTTGATAAAAACAAGCCCAAAAAATTTCTCGATCGTCGGCCTGACTCGAAAATGCAACCCTATTTAAAAGGACCTTTATCGAGTAAAGTTCATAACTAAACCACTTAACCACACATCTCAACTAATAAAAACTGAAAGAAATTATACATGTGTATTTATCGAAAAAGAAAAGGAAGGAAATAATTTGGTGAACTGATATTTTGGGAGTTAAAATGTCCCAAAAATCACAAAAAATTCCATCTTTAGGGGTGTATGTTTAAAACCGAAACCGGGCGGTTTTGGTCACCGGTTTTCGGTTATCGCCGGTTTTCGACCCCCGGTTTTCGGTTCCGGTTAATTTGCCAAAAACACCGGTTAACGGTTCCGGTTCCGGTTCGGTTAACCGTCCGTGAGCAACCCTAGTTCTACTCGAATAACCGAAGCACCCTTAAACCTAACCACCCTTGCCGTTACCAACTTACTCCGAAATATACCTCACATCAGCTTGAAAATTTTGCGGCCCTCTATATTCTTGATTACATTTTATTTAATGATTCGTATTAATTTAATTGATACTTTTAGAATCAGAACACCATTAAAAAATTTCTTGCCCAATCATTTTTACTTACCAGTGCTGGTTTAATTTCGCATTTAGCGTTTCGCATTTTTAGCGCGAAAGTTTCGCATTTCGCTTTTTATTTTTGGATTTCCCCAACTCTGTTATTTACCACCTTTTAAGAATTAATTAAAGTCTATCAAGCATTCATTGAATTCAATACAGTAAAAATAAACCTAAATTTCCAAAAAATAAAAATAAAAAATAACCTTAACTATCTCCAAATTTCATCAAATAATTTATTTTTATTGTCTTTTCATTCAAATAATAAAATTTTTTTTATTCAACATCTATTTCACTTTACTCCCCAATTCCTAACCTATCTAAAAATTTATCTGAGCGCGCGAATGTTATAATATTTATATCCTAACCATTAATGGCAAGGATTTTCT